AGGATTTAAAAATTGTCAAAGTTGAAGTTTATAATAAAAACATAGTAAGTGGACTCAAACTTTTGGAAGCAACTGTAAATAATCTATATAAGGTTATAAATATTTTTAATATATCTCAATAAAGACAAGCCATAATGACATAATTGTGGATTTAAAAAAATTTTTTTAGCTTATAACTAATAAGTAGTAAATTGATAAATAGTTAAATAAGATTTAACAATTTGACTAAATCTTTTCAATACTATTTGTAAATATATAAAGAAGACAAGACCATTTTTTTGAAGAGTTATCTCAAATAATAGTTTAAAATTTCATCAGTATAAATATATAATATACTTAGCAATCTTTGTTAAAAAAATATAAAAAGATTTTAAGAAAATGATTTGAAATAGTTATTATATTAAAATAATAGAATAAAAAAAAACCCCAAAATAATATTAAAAAAAAAAAAAAAAACAAGAAGTTCCAAATATAAACTTAATGCATAAACCAGATAATATTATAAGAAATTTATAGGAATTTATAAAGAGTTGGATCGAAAAAATATAAAAAAGAAAAAAAAAAGGATTATATAAAAATTATTAAGGAACAAATTTATCATTTAATTAAATGATTTGATTTTTAACTGCAAATAAAATTTAAAATGATTTATAGTAATAACCTATAGATAATTATTTTATTGATTTAAAGATTTATTTAAATTTAAAAAAATCAAAAAATTATTTTCTAAGTTATATCTAAAAAATAATTTATTGATAATGGGCAAGTTAATATATAAAAGTTATAATATTTTATAAATATTTAATATATATACAATAAAGATATGTTATGTTAACTTGATTGTATCTTAAAAAAAAAAAATCAATAAATTTTAATTGGATTTAATTAAAAATTGCTAAAAAATATTATACTTTAAAAATAAAAAAGTGTTAAATAATTATTTAAAAAATATATATTTTTTATATAATTATAAATTAATTTAAAATATTAAAAATATTATAAACAATTTAAATCAATATAATTGACAAAGTTTTTAAAAGATTTATGTATAAAAGATTACAAGATGCTCTAATTAGTTTTAATACTAATAGTCACCTTATTCCTTAACAAGGTTTTACAAGCTTCTATAAATAATTTGAAATTTGTATAATAGAAAAACTAAGGATTTAACAGTATCTAGACATGTTGGTTAGAAGGCAAGTCATTATTAAATTAATAATATGTTCAAGACCTTACTGATTATTTTATAAATAGACTATAATAAGTCACATAAAAAATAATAAGTGGGATAAGAAAATATCTAAAATTTTATATAGGTATCCTATAGTTATATTGTAATAGATAGTATAAAAAAATATTTGGTAGAATAAGATATTAAAAAGATATTTAAATATAATATAAGGAGATAGTTGCATTCTTATTATTAATATATTATAAGGATTTAGATATAATTAGATAAATGGATTTATCATAAGAATTTGGCTACTGGCTTATCAGAATACTAGATCACAAAAATATAAATTAGAATATAGAGTAGTTAAAATCTATATAAATATAATCCTATATGTATAATTCTACTTTATAATAAAGACTTAAAGATATTATAATGTTTAATAAATTAAATTATATTATTTTCTCAAAAAAAAAAAAAAAGTTTTTAATCCATTTAGTTTTAAATTTTTTATAAATTTCTTTTAAATTTAATAGAAAATGAATTTTAGAATTTTGTTTTTAAAATTGCAACAATTATTTGAATATATATAATCTAAACATTTTAATTTAAAAAAATAAATATATATTAATTTTAGAAGAATTTTTTAACATATTAAATAAAACTTAAATAATTAAGAATAGATAGAAATAGTTCTTTTAATATTACAAATAATAAAAAAGAATATTATTATTTTTTTAGAATAATTTTTAATATTAATCAAATAAAATAAACAAATATTCTTGAATTACTTAAATTTTCTATCAACTTTATATCTTATTTTTCTTATTTTAATATAATAAGACTTGAACTATATTAGATTAAATAATTTAAATTAAAATAAAAAAATTTTTTTTAATAAATTCTTTCAAGTATATAAGTTTTTGTTTGAAATAGAAAAAAAATATTATTAAGTCAAGTAGATATAAAATTAATTTAGATATGAAAATATATATAGAAATTATTTATATTTATTGATAAAAAAATAGATAATCAATAAAATATAACATATATATTGTTAGTTGTTTAATTAAAAAAAATTGAAATAAAATATAATTAATTATTTTTTTAATCAATAAAATTTTTATGTTTTTTAATAAATCAATTTAAAGAATATTTTTTAAAGTTTTTAATAAAAAAGTTTTTAAAAAATAACATTAATAAAATATTTAAAATATTTATAGATAAAATTTTATATAATAAAAAAACTTAATTTTTTTTATTGACTGGTTTGTCTTTTTGAAACTTTTATTTTTACAATTTTTTAAGAAATTAATATTTATTTTTATTTTATTTTTTTAATTGAATTAATATATACGATATTTTAATTTATAAAATCAATAATATTTAAATAATAAGTTTTTTAAATAATAAGAAATTATTAGTATTTATTAAAACCAGGATTTTTTTATTTCTATTATTTTGATTTGATCAAATTTTTAATAATAATTTTTTTTATAAGTTTTCAATTTGATATAATATAAAGGTTTTGATAACCAATAGTTTTAAAAAATCTATATTATTATCATTGGTTTTTTTCCTTGTAATATATTTGTATATTTTTAAGTATTTTTTTTCTTCTCCATTCTTTTTGTAATTTCTTGTTATCAAATGACTTGATAAAACTTATAACAGTAACAAACTGTTAACTGTTATATGTAATTTAAAAAGATTTTAATCCAAATTTCATTACGGAATAAAAATATTGTATATTGTTCTCAAATGTCAAACTTAGAAGTTAAAATAAATAGTTTATTTCATTTACAAGACAATTTTATGTTTATACTGTATGTTGAAGAATTTTACAACAAATATTAAGCAAAACAACAATCAATATTGTTTACAATATATTATTTTAATGATTTGTTTAATGTGACGTTTTTAGAAAAAAAGTTGATTACAATGAAAAAGAAATTAATAAGAATAATGATAAATGTGCGAGTCCAGTCTAATAATAAAAGACCGCATTCCACATCCTTGATCAACTAAAAGCGTCTCCGATTGTTGAAATTCAGAATTCCAAGTTTATTGCAGTTTGGTATAAATAACGATTAAATTTTATCCATTTTTTTTCCTTAAAATAAATTATCCGCCATTCATAAAAACTCGTCAATCCTCCTCAGCGTGATATCCAACTTTTCTCATTTCCGCCAATTTCCTTCTAGCGTTAGTCAATTCATTCTCAAGTTTCAATATTAACACTTGTTGCTCCATTTCTTTAACTTTGAAATCATGAGGTGCTAGTTCAAAGTAATTAATTTCAGCTTCCTTGTCTGCAAGCTGCTTGGCCGCAATGGCCTTCACGGCCCTGACCAGGGCTTTGCAGGCTTCTGTAACAGCTTTGGAGGCTGTTTCAAGACGATCTTGCGCCTTTGACATGAAGTCTGCCTTGACTCTTGAGGCCGCCACGAGCTGCGCAGTCGCAGCAGCAACTTCATTCGAAGCCACGATTAGTTGCTCGAGGGAACGATTTCCACTTATAACACCATCAGCAGTCTCTATAAGAAGATTGGTAGCTATTGCAATAGCCTTTGCCGCAGAAATAAGTCCTTCCGTCCACCTATTATTCTTTTTATAGAATGCAGCATGACTGCTGGAACCACGACCTTGAGCGACAATTTCTTGCTGCGAGGCGGTTGCGCATTTTATTAAATTCGCAATGGCATTTGTTACCGCCAAGGCAGATTCCAAAATTGCTTCATGGACATTTAATTCTGTAGCCGAAAGACTAGAGTCGCGAGGTCTCGACATCAACGCTTGAATTCTGGCAGTAGCATCCTCAATCACTCTGGCAGCATTCATCATTTCTCGTTCAACCAGATTACCAAGTTCACCGTCTTCTTTATTGGTAATATCCAAGCTGTGTCTCAGCATACCTTCTGTGACTTTAGAAACCTTTTGTAAAGCCGTTTGAACATCAATATCCCCTTGGGAAACCAATTCAGATCTCTGTGATGCTGGCAAATTATCAAGTTTAAACGATTGCACGTTCAGCAAGAATTTTTGAGACATGTTAGCAACCATCTTGGCGGTGCCGACAAGTTCATCCGCAGTATCGTCATCTTCACTTGCAAGACGGGTGATCCCTTTGACATTTACTAGCACGTTTGAAATAGCTTGAGTGAAATTTGTAGCAGACTTGATCACTTCCGTGTGTTCTTTGGTACGATCGCTTCTCAAGAATTTCTGAAGTGAAAAAGAGAATTCCGATGTTTCCGTTGTCGCCTTCTCAATCATAGATAATGTATATTCCGGGGTAGAGTTCTGATTGCCCGTTTGCATAGGTGATTCCAACTCGTACAAACTGTCATCAATCTTCTGAATGCAAGATTGGAATATACTGTCTATTGAGAGTAAAAACAGTGTTATGTCGGATGTTGCACCTCTCATAAACAAAGGAAATATTATTACTTACCAAGAATTTCATTCAAATTTTTGAGATGATCTAGCAATAAGTTATCGAACCTAGCCTGATACCTATCAGATTCCGCCGTGGACTATATACAAATTTAATTGAATATATAAAAAAAATGGAACACAATGAAATGGATAATAAGAGTAAAAATTTTTACCTTTTTCATTTCCGCCATAAGCGTCATACTTTGATCCATGGCAGATTGCATGATTGCAAGTCTCTCCTCTTTTTCCTAATAATCAATTTCAAATATTAAGTCATAATTAATTTGGATAATCACATGATCAAATATTCATACCTGTTCCACACGATCGATTTCATTTTTCTTTTCTTCTATTTGCCTTAGTAAGTCATCGACATATAATTGTTTTGACTAAGAAAAACCGCGATCAATTTAGAGCGCATTAATCTAAAGATGAGAAAAAAAAACCCGAATGCATACTCTTATGCTATCTTCTAGATCTTGTTTCTCCTTATCAAATCTGGATCTCAACAAACTTGCTTCGTTACTCTTTGACCTCATAAGATCTTCCACCCGACTATTGGCTTCGGCTAGATCACGTTTAGCTCTCTCCAAATCCTCACGTTGACTCTATTGAAGTAAGGTTATTCTCCATAAACATATTTCATATTTTCATCCAATATATAAATTATTATTAGCATATTTACACTTCTTAATCGATCCAGTTCGTGTCTCGATCGATCTCTTTCTCTTATCATATCAGCCAATTCAAGATTTTTTGCTCGCATATCACGTTCCATCTTCTCCATTTTGTCAATAGCTTCCTGTGCAGAGTTTGCTTTAAGCTGTGCTGCTTTAAACTTATTGATAAGGTCCAGATGTTCCTGGCGCAATTGCGAGTATAACTTAGCAAGCGCTTCATATTTATTCTTCCACATTAAGATTTGATCTTTGAAAGATAAATATGGTAAGCGAAATTCTATTATAATTTGAATTACGTGATGGTAATGCCCAACGGAGATTAACCCTGACCTTGTAGATTTTTTATAATTTCGTCTTTCGAGTTTATTTGTTGTTGAGAATTCAAATTGAGTTGATTCATCTCATTCTCTAGAGATTTAACTCTCTAAAATGTACGCAAAATTGTAAATCAAATCTGCTTTTCAGCAAATATGAAAGTACATGCACCGCTCATTCAAAAAAAAAAGGAAAGAAAGAAATACCCTATCATATTGTTCCAGCATCATCTGATCACGTTCAACATGATTCCTCATGCTTAGTAACTCTCTTTCCAATTCAGCGACTCTCCCTTCTGCCTGCCTTTGCATTTGTTCTCTCAGCAACTGTTCTCTGGCTAATCTCTCTCTTTCTTGCTGTAATCGCTGTTGTTCTTCCAATTCCCTTTGTCTTTGTGCTTCCATTGCACGCTGCGCTTGAAGTTCCATCTCACGCTGTTTTAAAAGTTGCCTTTGTTGTTCTTCATATAATTGTCGTTGTCTTTCTAACTCTTGTTGTTGCTGTTTTTGTGCCTCATTCTCCTTCCAGAATTCTGCTATTGGTTCTGGATCGGGTACAGATATTGGTGCAGGTGACTTTGATTGTTGGCGTTTAGGTAATGACGGGGCGGCAGCATTGTCGATCAAACTGGGTGGATCCTTTAAATATGTTGGAAGGTCAAGTTACGTTTAATATCAGGTAAATTAAACATCAAATTTTACAAACCTGTGGTAACTTCGGTACACTAATCAAACTTGTCAAGTATCTCAAATTCGAACAATCAAAGTAAAACTGTGATAATGCATAATGCTGTGCATTGAATCTTATCATAAGAGGCGTCAATGCTTCGCCATCTTCCGTACGTCGATACATCGCTCGGATCATGCTCGTCAAAAATTTATATATTCCATGACTCTCCTCCACCAATGGAACAAGCGCAGCGATACGGCATTCGTTATTGGAAGAAGGACGAAAATGGGCAAAGATTAATTTTTGAAATTGATCAATATGATCTTGTAAATTCATTAATTCGCTGATCGTTTCATAACTAAAAGTGAACGAGATAATTAAAAGCTTGAAATATAAATTTTGATTCTACTAGACTTAAGTCATACCCTTCATTAGGATCATCAACATTTTTTAAGCTAACATAGTCCTCGTAATCAAAATTACCATTAAATTCAGGATGCACGCGGTGATATCTTAACTTGGCCCTTAAGAACTCAACATATTCACGAATAAGCCTGCCGTATCCTGTCAAAAATTTTAACGTTTGTTATGATGAAGTGACCCGACAAATGCGCTTGAACTTTAATCAATTACCTCTCACTCCGTCGCCATTGACAGATCTAGCACACGTTTCCAACCAATTTATATGACTCTGTGCCTCCTTTAGGGTCTGATTACGAATGAGGATTCAAAATCAAGACACGTTCGTAATAAAAAAGAAAAAGAAAAAGAAAAGAAAAAAACGTTAAATCAAAGATCAATAAGTTTAAAAACAACAAGTTCTTAATGTTGAAACATACAGAAGGATGACCACCTCGGATAATTTTGTGCACCATAATCAAAGCTTTGAAGGTCTGCACTTCGTCGGATAAAAGCGGTTGAACCTTTAGGCCCATCCATATTGATTCTGATGTATGATAATCCCAAGTAAACACGATGCATTCTACAGACAAGCAAAAGAGTTGGGCATTTAAATCCGAATTAAACAGTTTCAGCCTTCGGGAAATCCATTATTTGCAGAGGAAATACTAACTTCGAACGTGCTTTTGTTTAGGAGCAGTCTCTTCAGAATTCGTGGCCTTCTTTATGTTGAGTGCAAGGTCCTGTTCAGCCTTGTCGCGATCCACAGGTCGGGTAGGGTAATGTTCCATTTTTGTAAAAATTAAAAAACCACGTACGTGTACGCAGCTATTTAAATTATTTTATCTACTTTCTTGGCTTTCTTAGGTATAATGATGCGTAAATAAATTTATTGGCATAATTAAGCATCTTGGCCGCTTGGAATTGTGGTACATATAATACGTAACTCTGGCGCTTAAAATAGCAATTCAGTTGGTGTATAATCATCATACGTATCACAAAAAAATACTATTTACTAAAAAAAATGAATAGGAGTCGTGGAGGAAAAAGACGTGGTTTCAAGAGTGGCGCTTCGGGTTTCGGTGTAAAAAATTTCACAAGCGAAATACAAGCTATCTTACAAAAAACTCTTTCAAACGACCATTCCAAGGTAGAGAGCACACTCTTTGAAAAAGTGATATTTACTGAAGGTCGTAATAAAGAATCGAATGTTAGGGCATAGAACTACAAGATCCAGAGGAACCTACCGAAGACGAACAGCATATTAATAATGCACTATGTGCATACAAGGCTTCTCTAAAGGACTCGGCATTTTATTTATCAACATCAGAGCCTCCACCTGGTTTGTAAAATTTCCTAAAACCTACTATATCTGCTCTTGAATCTCGCTAAAATCGTCGATAGAAATACAACGCTATTCTGACCAATTCAAAAAGAAGAAAGTTCAGCATTCGTTACGAGATGTCGAAACAGGTTTTGTTTCAAGTTTATATACATGATTATTTAAAGGCAACATTCTTAAATTAAGTTAATATGAATGCTACCTATTATCACATAGACTTATCGTTCTTTCCATACGAACTTCACTGTGTTAAGGACGAATCAATAATTGCCACGATTTCTGCGTCCGGTATGTTTTATATACGAATATGACGCCTCAGTATAAAGTCATCACCATTTATGCTTGTATAAATTTTTAGGAAATTCGAGGAAAGTTCAAATCGATTTAGATGAAACATTTGGCAATCTCATGTCTCAAGAAGATAAAGAACGAACCAAAAAAGCCGATGTATGTAGTTTAGTTTTTTTTTTTAAAAGAAAAATAATCTTGTTCTGACAACGCTTTATCGACTGTTTTAAGGCTGGGGATGAAAATGAATTTGACAAATACGTAGATATGGAACAGCTTCTTCAAGAAGAAGATGAATACGCAGATGCAAATGACTATGTTGAAAGTTACTTTGATAACGGCGAAGGTGATGACTTGGATGATGATGGAGGTAATATCTACACGGCGATTTTTGAGGGAAGAATTCTATATGATTTAATTTTTTTTCAAAAAAATTTTACTTAGGTGGAGGTGGCGAAGCCTATTTTGATTAACCTGTTAATAATATTAATCGGACAAGTGTACAGTATTTAATTTCTCTATTTTTTTTTTTTTGTTGAATTGCCTTGATAAATAATAAATTCATTACAATAAAAAAAAAAAAATTCTGGACAACATTACGTATATCTCATGTTATATAGAAATTATCTATTAATTGATTTAAAACAAAATTATTGTTGTTTATTATTAATTCTACAAAAATTTTTTAAAGTTAAAAGTTAACTATTAATTTATATAACCAAAAAATATTGTGATATAAAGTTTTAATATTAATTTTTAAATATATTTTTTATTTTTTTAATTAAACAATTAAATTATTTTGATATATTGTATTTCTGATAACAATAATCTATTTTTATTTTTATTTGTTTTTTATTTATTACTTTTATCAAATTAATTACATATGCTTTATTTATTTTTTTTTTTTGTATATCCATAGCCAGGCTAAATCGTCAGTTTATTAATCAAATGAAAACAAAAATACATTTTCATTCGAGCAGCATGATACATACTACAGCTAAACTATTATTCTAATCTAATTAACTCGTCATAAGCATAAAAGCCTCTAAGTTCGATCTTGGAGACAATATTTCGCTTCGCAGTGTCTTTGGGTAAAGACCCTTCTAGTCCACTGCATCATTGCCAGCAGGTTGTCACTGCTGTATGTTTGGTCAAGCCGCTGGATTACAGAAAACTACAAAAAGATGGGTTGGAAAAAAGGGGAGAGGGAATATCTAAAAATATCTAAGTAGACAAAAAGAAAATGAAAAGGTAAAAAAGTAAAAAAATATTTCCAGCCTCCTGCTTCTCAAGATCTCTTCTCAATAAGAAATGCTCGATTGGGATATCCTTTCTTTTTCTGATCATTTGAGGAACTTAATCATTCTTAATCTTGATTTCCTTCTTGTGTACCGTCTGAAGAGACTTATTGCCTAGTGGAAGTCTTTATTTCCAGGACATACTTGGTCCCAACCTTTTTTAGATAGTGATTTTTTATCCACCTGCAGTAAGTAGACAACTTATAATAGACCCCAGGTTCTTATGTGACCTAGTAAGGACTAGGTTATGTTGTTTCAATATGATATTTTCTAGTAGCCCCACCTAGTTAAAGGAATTTTACTGATGTATATTTTCTATTGTCCAAAATAGTCTTTCCTCAAAAATCTTTTTGCTTCACAATAGTGGGAGAGTACCAGAAGAGCAGTGGAGAATCTTGTCGATTGTGATATTCTTCAAACAACTTCTGGGAAAATGCATTCTCAACTGTAACTAAAGGGTTGGAGCTTAGTATGGACTAGAGACCGTTCAGTCTTATTGTCTGACCGGAATAAAAAGGAGACCTTGGTCTTGAACTTTGCCTGACTGGAATGATAGAAGAGAAAGATCTCAGCTTGAACGAATAGCAACTTTTTTACCACCTGGGGACTTGTTGCTCATATCTTATTGGCCTCATAATACTTGATCTATAGGTTAACCCAATTGGAGGAGTGGGTGGATACAGGGCACCAATCAACTCTTTCTATCACCAATAATGTCATCAGAACATGTGAAGTGATCAATAAAAGCTTGTTTACATTCAGTTACTAATGTGTTTCGTGTCAATCAATCAGATGCCAGGTGATGTTGTGCTACCAGAAATTCAGGGTCAAACTGAAGTAGGCAAAATCTCTCAAGAAAACCATGAAAAATTATAGATACTCTAAGAGGGTACAAGATAGTATGTGAGAAGGTGGATAATAAGCCTTCCCCTGCCAACAAAACCTCTATTTCTTTTCTGTAAGGTGATACTCCACTTGTCAGTCCTTTTATTTCCTAGAACCTTCTTGCCCTTAGTAGAGGAAGTGTGTACTTGAGTCTTTTCAGGCCACTAAAGGCTCAAGTTTTATTCAAAGAAGTTTATAAACAATAAAACAACTAATGTGAACATGTATATGTCAACTAGTATAGTATTAAAACAACATAACAAGGATTATTAA